GCCCTGTCAGTTATTTTTTAATATTAACCTGTTACTTTACGTGGTTAAGAAAATTACATGATATCAAAGTTTTAATGATAATTAACCTTGATTGATTCAAATATAACTGATACTTTTCCTGTTTAAAAATAACTGGCGGAAGACACTCCATTTCAATGAAATTCCATCCGTTCCATGAAAATTCCTTTGCACGTTTAAGCTTTACCTCTCCATTTTTTTTTTTATATTTTAAATTTTAGGTGGTTGATGATATTCAATAAACGAATCACATATATTAAGATCACAATCATTTTCGACCAAACTTTATACAATTAGTTCTTATCTTGAACAGGAAAAAGCTGATTCTAACACAAAAGATTATTTTTAAAATTATATTCTTCAAAACAGTAGCTTCTATTAATAATAGAAGTTGATGAGTTTGTAATCACACATTCCATAGTCAGCTAGCTGGAGGACAGGTCATTGAGGTTATGAAAGATATATCGGTTTATCTCGACTCCTTGAGGGCATCTGTTGTCTCTTGTGTATCTATGATCACTTTAATACCTAGATCACTGTTGAGACATCGATTCGATTCTCAATGGAAATGTATATTTTAACTTATAGAAGTAAATACCTAGATTATTTCTTAATACTATTTTTCTTACTTTTATCTCCCAAATTGAGGTTTTTTTCGGTTTATTATTGTCAATGATAAACCATTGTAATCGTCCAAAAAAATCAAAAAATTAACCCCTCTCTCTCAAAATTTGAGGTTTAACGTTTCACGATACCTAGAATTCAAAAATTGAATACAATTTTTTTCTTGTCCATCCGCTTTCGGCTTTCCTTCGAGATTACTGAACCGATTTTTTTTCAAATTTGGAATCAAAGTCTGAGGTCGCCCGAGGATGATCCTCCTACCTCGACATTGATATCCGTCCTTTCCTTCCAAGATAGCGGCCGAAGAACCTGTGTTGGTATAGACTATGCCTAAACGAATGTACCAATTTTGATGAAACTTGGCCAAAGTCTTCTCTTCGATGAACTTTTTGATGAAATTTATATATATATATATATATATATATATGTATAATGTATTTCAGCGAAACGAAGCTGGAAAAAAAGTTACGAGGGGTGGTAAAATTACATTTCCGAATAACTCAAGAAGGATATAAATTTTTTTCAATGTTGTATATTATTATTTAAAAGTTTAAGAATTTTACTAAAAAGAAAAAAAAAAACATTGTTGAAATCACACAATGTGGAGCAAAGATATGGTACTCCAAATATGTTCTACTGTAGTTTGTTTATAATTGTCTAATCTTTTGTTTTGGTTTTTGATTTTTTGAAAGTTTTAGATAAACTGTAGCAATGTTGTTTATTTTTTAAGCAAATTATCTATGGTAAAAAAAAAAATTATATAGGCCAACGTTAGGAATCCCTCTTTATATATTTTCCTTAATGTTACAAGGAAAGTAATCCTAATTTTAGTGTTAAATTGTTCCGAAACAATAAACCATTGGATAATAATTTGCAGCGTTTTTTGAGTTTTTTTTTTTAATTGAGTAATATAACATTCTGTCAGATGGATATTGGTTATTTTGGGATAAGAGTACAATCACACTATGTATACAGAAAATATAAAATAAACAGAAGTAGAGTAACAAATAATAATCAAAAAGTATATTCAATAAATACAAATAAAATAACTTAAAGATAAGTAAATTATTAAAAGAACACAGGCAAACACCAAGCCAGGCTTGTCCCTCCAACTATAAAGGGAAAATCAGGACTTCTGGAGATCCTTGCGCTGCTCTCTCAGCGTTGTCATCTGTACTAAAGCCAATGGAGATTGAGCGAGAGCGCTTTAGCCGCATACACTGTTATATGTTTATTAACACCTTAAATAGAAAAAAGTACTCCATGTTCCATACTGTTTATCCTGACTATATTTAGTAAACACATTTTTTAGTGTTAAATGAAGGGAATTGTGTTCCTTCAACCATAAATTTCGTTTGGCAGCCAAATTAGCGTTAACGACACAGAGGCAAGCTAACACCCTAACCGCTCAGTTGTGAAATCCTCAGCAAAACCTGAAGAGTGTCACTTTTTTTTTTTTTTTGTCTTCTCTCTTCAGTTCGCCTTTAGAGAGGCAAATCAACTAGAAGCGCCGTTTAGAAAGTTGAATGATTTGCTTTGAGAATAATTTCCAAGCTGTTCAAAGCTGAATGACAAACGGTCGGATTTAAATACAAAGGCGCCATCGACATTAATGACGATGTATAAATTCTAGCGATGTACACATTCCCCATTTATAGTATTACTGGAAGTGATTCATTCACTGGAGACTCTACACAAAAGCTACTACCGAATTATTTTCATCAATGATTCACTTCTAATCTAAACGCCTTTTTATCTCTTTTATGTTACGTAATACGTGCTCCGTATTAATGATGAATGAATAAAAAAAAATTCTACAACCTTTCTTCAACGTTCGTTCCCTTTACAATAGAAGCGCCCCTAAATAGGAAACTGGTGCGGTGCCCACATTACACAACTTTCGCTTAATACTCTACTTTGAATCGAAATATACGTATGAGGAGGTCGGATGATAGTAGTGTTAGTCAGTTTTTTTATGCCCAGAAAATGAAACTGACTTATTCTATTATCAATCTTCGTGAATTAGTGTCTTCTTCGTAACCAATCGGGAAAACTCGTCTACACTCGTTGCCATTGTAAGTCAACTACTATAGCATCCCAGACATATTTTTAACTCAAAAACATAATTTAATTTTCGTAAGACTTTTCGTTTTTGAGCTAGGCTATTCATACACATCCACAACACTTTAAGAAATTTGGTTATTTGGGTTCAGAGGATCGTTAAATTCTTATTTATGTCCATTGAAAATTTTGACCAAAATTTTCAATATCACAATATTTTTCCTTAATATTCATTTCAAGTAAGTAAGTATATAAAGTAGTATAGAAAAGAGAAAATAAAAATAGTGCGCTCCTCAATTGGTTAATCTCCCTCTATAAAGACCCGAAGATTATTTTTCTGTGGAATGTTATGGAATATGGAAGTACAGTTTCGACGTCAAAAGGATTTTAAATTAAGAAACAACTGAAGGTCTTTGTACACATCTTGAGTTTATTTTATATTTCATATTTTTAAGATTTATAGTGGCATATAAAAGTAAGAATAAATTTTAGTAGACGTTTATTTTTATTGCCCGATTCGAGCTTAAGTGGATAGTTGCAATATATCTAATCTTAGCAAGTGTAAATAACTTTGTGATTTTAAAGCACTGACGGGCTAATCAACATGAGGGAAAGGTTTTCGGGCTATTGCCCCCTCCTAAAAATGAGAAAATCATGTTTTTTTTTCGTTGGTTCATATTTTTTTTTCTTATTAATTATAACCATACACAGCCACTAATGTAAGCAAGTACAAATGTATCAAGTAGAAATCCCCCCTCAAAAAAAAAAAATAATAATAATAAATAAATAAATCTTGGATCTACTATTGTTTTACTATATATTACATATAGAAGAAAACTATTTGAATTATTATTTATATATATAATTTCGACTGCCACAAGAAAAAAAAAATGCAACTTGGCCTCTTGCATTTTCAGAAATAGAATAAGAATATTTAGTACATTTCGCCTTAATCTTAAGCATGCTATAAAAACTAAACAGAAAATCCACTTTACAAAACAAAAAAATACGTGTTTTTCTTATTTTTTTTTCCAATTTTCATCTACAACAGAGATCTACAAGCTAACGCCCGCGGATGTTTCTTCGATTACATAATACATTTTTTAAAAATATGAAATTTATTAAATCACCCAAAAATAAAGTCACTTTAACTTTTATTGTATGAATTGTTTCTCCTAGAACCTCATTTCATAACTGAAGTGTCTTTTATAGAACAAGATTTTTCTTTTTCATGACAAACTGTGGCTCGCGAGGGACTTTGTGGTCTCAGTGTTTTAGGATCATTGAGGGGTCTATTCACAGGCGGATCTACGTGGGAAGCTTTCGGGCTGAAGCCCCTCCCCTCCAAAAATGGTAAATTATTACCATGTTTTACAGAAAAAAAGTATTAAAAACTATCTCTTAAAGTATTCTTGTTCGGGTAATTACATTTAATAGGACTTCAAGAACCACTTAAACACCATTTCTTATAGGTTGTTAATTTCTTTCTTTTTTTTCTAATTAATTGTTGTTATATGTATATGAAAAAGAAATCTTTCGAGCTGAAGCCCCCCCAAAATTAAATTCTGAATCCGCTAGTGGGTCTATTGAAGATTCTAACTTCTTGGCCTGCGAGCCACATTGAAACCTACTCTCGTGGGCCAAAATGTTTGGAGACCTCTGAATTTACAGTTTTTACTGAAGTTACAGTTTTTCTTTTTTTTTTTTTAATTGCAAATATTTTATTCATATCAATCATTTACGGAACAGAACCTAATTTAAGTTTTTTGTTGTTTTTTTTATCAACCTTTTAAGGGTCCCTTATATGGTCGATATCATTGAGTCTATAATATTGATGCATTATAATTGAACGGAGTAAATATACCACATATGTTAATATAATTGTTACAGTATATTCCTCAATATATTGATGAAATTTGATATCGAATCAGAAATGTTGACTGTGTAAGAGTCCATTTAGGTAAACAACCATCTTTATCTCTACGTTGGACAGCTGGAGCAGCTGGTTAATATTCGGTCTTTGTGTTTACTTCCATCCAACACTTGTACTCTTCAATCAACTTCCTTATCATGTATTCGTCATGCTCCGTCTCTGACGCAAACTTCTGTTAACCGTTCAGCGAATTGAGGAGTGTACGAAAGTAAGGAAATCAGTAACATTACATTTCGACTTGAACTACTTCATTGCCACTTCTAAATCAATATACCGATTATAATGTACTAGATTTTTTATTCACTCTTTATGTGTAAGGCATGTATGTTGTGTATTTTTGATCGATTTTTATTATATTTTTCAGATGGAGAAGGCGGGGGGAGGGAAAAAAATTACACGAGGGCAGGCCACTTCTTTTGGATTTCGAAAAGCCACACCTGAACCGCCACCACCGAAGAAAACTACCCAGGAACAGTGTAACTCCTTCGGTTTCAGGAAGCCCACAGCTACTGAACAGGTATTCCATATTTTATTATTCCTTCATTTAACTTGCCATAATTTATTGTCGATGCCTTAAATTTAATTTTTAAAATAGAGCTTCAAATTCATGTAAATATTAATCCCTTTTTATCGAAAATATCAAACTTTTGAACCGTATCAAAGTTCCTTGAAAGAGAATGCATTTATTTATACATTTTAAATCCGTTGCATTATTTGCACAATCCACGGAACCAGTGGTTCTCATATCTACATCTTTCTCCCTCTCCCTCCCCACGAGGTCGATGGCTATGTGCCTTCCTCCTCAGAAATTGTATTAATCGCTTCTTCTTACAACCACTACAAGCAAAAGTAGAATGGGAAAAAATATAGATCTTACACTTAATGTTTTTTTTCAATTTTTTCTTGGTTCGAAAGTTTCTCTTAATTGAAACCTCATAATAATATGATTCGATTTAAAAAGGGGCGGGGTGGCCGAATGGGCTAAAGCGTGTGCACTGCACCGCGAGTTGCATGGCAACCAGATATATGAAGTTTTGAGAGATAAAAAAAGCACGAGTTCGCGTCCCGGTGCCGGAGGGGATTCTAAATTCCCCGCTCTTACCCCCCTCCCCCTCCCCCGGCCCGGGGAAATCCCGTATAGCCTAAAATAAAAGGCGAGGTGGGGAAGAATAAAAAAAAATTAAAATAAAAAAAAAATTAAAAAAAACGTTCGATTTAAAACCACCTCAATATTGACTCTCTCAAAAATTCAAAGCACCCCTCCCCCCCCCCCTTGGGCTTGTCTGCAAGAACAGGAGGCAAACCTCCTAAGGAAAGTACAAATACTTTCCTCACAAAGTACTGATCCCAAGATCTCCCATGGACTGTAAAGATACAGTTTTGGAGGATGTCTAATCTTTATATATGTATTAATTCCCGCTACACTTAAGAGCTTCCAACTTCCTCTTAAGATTAATTGAGCCCAGATTTTGAATGTATTGTTGTTTTCGAGACAAAAAAATATTATAGTTCATTCGTAATTTCATCGCGTCCAAATGTTTTTTCTTGATTTTCCATTTTTTTATGTTTTGCGCAACTCTACAGTCTCTCTCCATATTTAGAAGGTTGAAAATACAATGGATCGGGGGAGACAGGGTTGAGTTGAGACCCTTAGAAAGCACAATTCTAACACAAGAAAAATCCTGATAATGACTGAATTGGCGGTACGTTGACGAGTCACGATTTAAATGCGATTACAGAGGCTGAAGGCTTTGTTGGGAATTTTCCAATAATAATTTATAAATCCACAATACGCAATCATTTATAGTTTAACTTCTGCTAGTATCCTCCAGAATTCGTAAAAACTGTGAATCATCGGTTCATATCGATTTATGACTAAGTGGCAACTTCACCAATGCCTCACGCACGATTTCGTAGTAACTGTTTCTTTTCTTTGATTCCATTCAAATTAGACAGATATGTTTTGACAGATACAAAGTTGGAAAACAATAAAAATTATATTGGGATCATCTACTGAATCAGATTTTATATCTGCTAAAGAGAGTGATTATAGCATTGTAACCTTTATAGATTTAAAAAACTCTGGAATAAACAACAATAAAGTGAACTTCACATAAGAAACTATCTATGCCTGAGAGCTAATAAAACTTGCGCAAATTATGAATTTATCTTATGCAGATTTATCTCCTTGTCCCTTTCTTGCAGATAGGTCAGCAAGGAGGCATCAATATGTCCCCAATGTTCCCTGAACTGCTTTCAAAACATAATTCATCATCTAGAAGTGATGATGAGAATATTAATGCATTATATTATTAATGCACCCTATAGTCCTGGAGATGAAGCAAACTGAGATCATATGTCAAATTTTTGGAATTTTATTGGAAGACAAAATTTACATCTAGTGACATTTCTAAAACCTCCAGCTAACCAGCCATTGGGGGAATTATTTGGCTAGAGGACTGCACAAAGCTTGTAACCAAGGGCTATGCAATGAGACACTTCTCAGTTTTGAAGTTTTGTATATGCTCTCTATGATTTATTTACCTTTGATTTGAGGGGGCTTTAACACATACCCCTACTCCCTCCTCTCCCTGACACTAATTGGTCTAGGTATGCCACTGATAACCTTGGTAGTTACTCCAGTGTTTAACTTAAACCATTGTTTCTGATTTTACATAGGTATCTTCTTTATGAACTATAAAATTGGTTGAAGTTGTTCATTTAACTTTTCGACTCTTTCTGTATGTTTGAATTATGATTTTACTGCTGTTAATCTATTTCAGTTAATTAATTTGTTAAATTATTATTATTAAGCAAAGTTAAATAGAACTTTGTTGAATATAATCAAAACGGTTTCTTTGATAATGTTAATCTGTTTATTATTCCTTGCTTTCAACATTCTAATCATTTCAAAACAATTGTAATCAAGAGGAATTTGGAATTGTAAATCAAATTGAAACTGGTGTGTTTTTTTATATTTAAAAAGATAAATCATATTGAAAGTCAATATTGTAAATTAGAACTTTGTGTAAATGTAATATGTATATATTTATAAATTTATCATATTTTTTTTAAAAAAGACAATGGCTTTTTTACAAATTATTTCCTTATTACTTTGGCCTTAAAGCTGCTTAAATTTGGCAACAATACATGAATAATGATTGTTAATTTTTACTTGGTAGACTTGAGGCTTTTGTTTTGAAAACTTCCAAAAGTTTTTTAACTATGGTATTTGTCCCTAAATTTTAAAGTTATTCTTATTATATATTTATCATGATTTAATTTTTCAGGCTGGTCCGTTCAGTGCAAAGAAGAATGCTAAACCAGAACCGGTGAGCGTAAAGAAGACTGAACAACCAGCGGTGACCGTCCAAGAGACAATACAACCCTTACTTATTGCACCCGTCCGGCCAAAATCCCAAAGTATATCAATTTTATGGTTCTTATTTTATTTAAATACTTGTAGTGATTGGTTGCTTCATTATTTATAAATATTTTGGTTGAAGATGGGCTACAAATTTTTAAAATTAATAATTTAAAAACCTCATTATTTCTCTTTTTATGGATTTATATTTCATTATTATATATAGATGGCATTTCTGCATATAAATATTTTTGTATATGAAAAAATGCCTGAAAGAAATGTTTTGAAATTTAATTTTTTAAGTGAAAGAAATTTTGTATCATTCATTAAGTAATCAAGTAAGCTATTAGCTCATAGGCTGCAAATCAAGAAAAGCAGTTTTCGGGAACAAATTTTTTGTTTTTTATTTGTCCATGAAATTTATTATTTAATTTCATTTTATATTTGAAATTTTAAAAAAATTCTATTAAAATAAAAATAAATCCATTTAATATGAACAAAGGAATATAATGACATGAAAAGGCATGTAGATAATCTAACCAATGGTAACACTCTGATTAAACAAAATTAAATTTGAAAAATAACTGAATTATGACTATTTTAGTAACACGCCCATTTCTAGGACTGAATTCAATACTCAAAGTTAGTTTTTACTATTAACAGTTTAATCTTTAAAGTTTCAATTATGATTTTGAGACTTAATAGATATTCATCATAACTAAAAGGAAATACCTTATAGATTATTAATTAGTATATCTAACCTAAAGCTATCTAACTACTGAATTCCTTTACAAGTCTTTGTTTATAAAATCATTAGATTAAAAAAATTAATTTGTACTAAATTCTATCATACTTACCAGTGTTGGTTATTACTCTGTACAACTTTTGATCAACATACTACCATTTGTTGTTGATAGATTTTTCTATGTTAGTTTTGAACCGAAAATCTCCTTGCCTGATTTCATATTATAATTTTAGAATGGTGTTTTCTCAGAACCATAGACAATCAGCATATCGAATATTCAAGTGTTCATTATTGTTTGTGAGAATTATTACATTTTTAATTCTGTGGATCATTATCCATTTCATGTTGATTTTTTTTCTAACTCCTATGATAAATTGTATTAATTGCAAATGTTAGATTCATGTGGGGCAAGGCCGAAAGAAACGAAACCCGTCAACAGATTCGGCTTCAGAGGTCCTCAACTTTCAAACAAAGTAGCTGATGTTGACGCATCATCTTCCCACAGTTTGGTAAGCACAAATCAAAATTTTAATTTGTAGGATTTAATAATTGTAGGATTAAATAATATAGCATGCATTATTATTAGTGTAAATAATTTTCATAACAGTTCTCATTGACAAAACATTTGTTGAATACTGGTATTGAATAAAATAAGAGTATTCAGTCATCTTGTCATTTAGCACAAGTCCAGTCGAGGAAATGAACTTTGCTTTTATTGTAATATGAATAAAAATGTTGGTTTTATCAATCATCTGGGAGATGTTTCATATAATACAGATACTGTTTCTACATTTATTACATTGTCTCCCTAACCGGTTAAATCAGTGCTGTTTCTGGTATACTTCTTCATGCAACATCCCTTTACTTTAAGAATTTATGTTGAGTTTTTTGTAATCTTCTATGTCTTATTTATAAATGATTATTTCATAATATATAGACAAATAAAATGGATTGATTGGATTCAACACAATCAATTACAAAAATTTAAATAAAAATAGCCAACTTCAACGATATCTATATTATTAGTTCAGCCTAGTGCTTCCATGTTATGCTTCTTTAAATGTTAAACTTTTAACATAAAGGTAGTTCAAAGATGAACTATGAGTCTTCTGAAAATCATGAAAATAAATGAACAGATGTCTCCAAATTTAGTCTTTTCTAATATCTTTCACTTTCTTATAAAAACCAACAGTATTGCCAAAGCGGTTTGTTTACACCTGACAAATATTCTTCCATTTGAGTTGGAGTTCATTACGAGTAGAAAGTTTTCTAATAAGAGAGCGTGGTTATTAAATAAAAGCTGGAAATGAGAGCTGTTGGTAGACCTATGTTAGGTTGGTTGTGACAAGACGCGACTGTTGCGTGCAGGAACGAGGGCAGGCTGAGCCTAGGAAGTACAGGCTTGAGTGGAACCAGTTACCCAGGGGCCAATGCGCAGCAAGGCTACCAGTGGCCGCGGGGTACTCTGCAGAGGCTGACAAGAGGGCCAAGACCGCAGCCAACACAGCTCTCTCCACTGTCAGTATAAGTCTCCACTCGTAGTCTGTAGCGTAGAAGTAGCAATAGTGCATGTCTTTAGGATCCTAATCCGTCGTAAGGCTATTCCTATAGCTTCCCACTTCTTAATTGCATTATGAAAAAATAATTTAGTATTAAAAAGAAATTCTATATCTTTGTTTTATTTTTAATAATTTTTCTACTAACTTTTTTGTCTTACAAAATGAAATCATAGGGTTTATGTAGAATCCTACTACACTGTTGCTTAGTGTGTTATTTGGTATTTTAATCCTAAATTATCTCATTTAGACTAAGAATTTTGAGATTACATAAACTGAACAGAGCTGTTTGGATGTTTAAAATGTTTGATGGCTAACATTGATGAGTAGCATTAAAAATGCTGTGTTCATTTCCTTTATCAGCTTGTTGAAATACTGCTATGTATAAAATCTAGGAAAATTCACCATAATGTAACATTTACATTATTTATTCATTCATTCGTTGGTGGACTCTACAGTCCTCAAAGAACCATGGCCTATGCTAAAGTCTTTTTCTACATGTTTTCTACGCTCTTCTAGAATCCATCCTTTCCACATGCCCTAACCGTCGCAGTCTATTGAGTTGAATGACTCTTACAAACAGGTGGATCTACGAGGGGGAGAAGGGCTTTCGAGCTGAAGACCCTCCCCCCCCAAAATGATAAAATATAACCATGTTTATTGAAAAAATTATCTCTAAATGTATTATTGTTCATCTTATTACATTTAATAGGACTTACAGAATCACATAACACCATTTCATTTAGGTGTTTAGTTTCTTTATTTCTTTCAAAGTAGTTATCGTAATATATACATACAAAAAAAAAAATCTTTCCGGCTGAAGTCCCCTCTCCAAATTAATTCCTTGATCTGTTGGTGCTCTCACAATATCCTGTTCACTATAGCTCTAAGTTGGACCTAATTCTCCATTGATCCTCCACATACATTGACCTATAAATTTTTCAGAGTACTTTTCTTTCCCATAAATGGAGCATCCTTTTGCTTTCTTCATCCATGAACCCTGTTATGCTTCTATATGTCACACGGTTTCATAATCATTTTACCGATTTTTTGATCTTTCTGAACAGATTTTTTGCGATTCAGCAGCTTCTATAAAATGTATAGACATTGGTTCCCTGTAGCTATACAAGCTTTAATATGTCTCTCTACTTGGTTCTCGCAAGTGATTGTGCTACCTAGGTTCTTGATTTTGTCACAGCTCTTGAAACTCCAATTCCCTATCCTCACTTCATCTTCTGTCATCCAGTGTGTTCTTGATGTCCGCTTGTACATGCTCTTGTCTATATTAATTTCCAGACTCAGTGCTCTAGCATCCCTGAGAAATACTTCAAGAGCATCTGCAAATGCTGGCACATTCGATGCTGTTATGAGCACATCGTTAGCATATGCTAAATGCTGCTTTATTCGATTGTAAATTATACCTCTGCCATTTGTTTTTATTGTCCTTATGGCTGCTTTCAATACCAGGTTAAGAAGCACTGTAGATAGCAGATCTCATAGTCTAAGTCATCTTCCTATTTTGAATTTTCGTGAGTCTCCCATTGAAAAGCACTTTAATGGACCTGCCAATATGATTCCGACCAGTCTTAGGATTTTTTTTTTGGAGTTCCTGTTTTCTCTAGGTGTTTATACATGTTTTCTCATACAAAACAAAACTTAGATATCAAAATATAATATTAAGTATATGAAGACAGTTCTGGCAGTACTTCAAACAGTTGTTGAATTTTGGAATTATTGTGCAACCTATCTACTTTTGCTCTTTTTAAGGCCAATCTTTTCTTTTGATCTATATCAAATGATTAATTAAAGGTTGACCATTGTTATATTTAGTTATCCTGCAGTATATTAATTAAATAAATTAGGCTTTTAATTAAATAGTTTCATCCCTTATAAATTTAATGCATTTATATACATACAGAGTTCGAAACATTTTTCAAAAAATTACATCGATGTAACCCGTATCAAAATAATTTTTTTTTCCAATTTAGTTGTTAAAAAAATTTCATACAACAAGTTTTCTAATACAAATATAAGAATTTTTATTTACAGAAAATATTATTACTGTTAATAGATAATCGATTTGTTTAATACTAAAAACTGATTTTTAGCTTAATACTTAATTTTTAAAAAATTATTAATTTTTTTTTTAATGCTTATATTGGAAATATACTTTTAGTTGCAGCTTTTCTAATTTTACACAAAACAATTGATTACCTCAAAGAAAAGAAAAAGGTTTCATTTGGAACAAATATCTCTTTACAATGACAAGACCACTGTTAGCATAAACTCATTCAATTATGTAACAAACTTTAAAAATGTTAATAAAAATAAGTCTTTTAATTAAATATCGTCCTTGTTTTGAGGTAAGAATTGTCACTGTGAGGTAAGAATGTACTCATAACTTGATTTAGCTTGATTTTATCCACCACATTCCTGCTATCGGGTCTTTTTACAGAATGAACAATTTTGCAAGCACCAACGAAAATCCTATCTCTTTCGAGTGCTATTTTATCTTTGAATAATTTAATATTAAAAGGAGTTCATTGGGTTTAAAAAACAATCTATTGGGTAATAGTAAATGTTAGTTATTAATTTGTATACCCATGGATGAAATTTGGTTCTTCTAAAATATATTTAGTCTACGGTAAAATGTTTATTGTAAAGAGAACTGCTAATACTGTTTTTAAATTAAAAATCTGGTTCACGCATCACACAACTTTCACTTACCACCCTCTCCTTAGCAGCAATAAGTATTTTTAGACAAAGGGAAAGTAGAAGTAAAAATATTAATTATTTTCTTTTAAAGATCTAATTCAAATTTATATTGATTCTTGTTTGTAATAAGCTTAATAAAAGATTTATTTAATTTGAACTTTATCATTCCTTTTATAATATTTCTTTTTTAAGATTTTAAAATATTACTAACTTTTGGAAAATAAAAACTTTCTGTTTGATTCTAAAACCAAGCACGTGCAGTCTCACAAAATCTAGAAAATAATAGCTAATCTTCTTCATTATGTTTAACAATTTTTTTCTATCGTGTTTCAGGTGCATGCCGACTCCGTTATAGAAATTCAACAATTAGATCATAGTCCATCTATGACTAACAAATTCCGACAAACCCAGCACCAATTACAACTCCAGCATGAGCTAAACTTGCAACAACAAAGAGAAGAGGTAATATTGCTGTTTTAATTCATTTGTATGTAAACTATTTCCAGCCTTGCTAAATATTTTAGAATAAAAATATTAGGTAACCTAGAACAATATTATCATATAATGTTCTTTTTCTACATATTTAAAAAAAATAAGTATCCTTAGATACAACCATTTCTGCTACCTTGCCTACAATCCATATTTTTATTCAATTAAAAAGAAAATATACCAATTTTTTTTTCAAATATCAGACGTCTTTTATTATCTGGAGATAATATAATATATCTAGTGATAATAATTATCACAGTTGTATGCTAATATGCATATATTTTGTTTTATAATAGAATATAATTGAAGCTGTAATTGAAACAAAACAATATTGCCTGTAAAACATTTTAGAAATAATAGTGATTTTTTTGTTTTATAGAAAATAAGATTTTATAAAAATAGACTGATTTTGACTATGGATCTGTTGCTACTGTAAAGTGCCCTATAATTGTACGATCTGGTGATAGTAACGTTATCTAGAAGTTATAATGCAAGTCATATTTTCTGTTTGTTATAGAACTACAAAATTAATTTGATAAATTTTATCTATATTAAATCAAAACATTGTGCATTTTGTGTAACTATGTTTGGCATAAGTTTGCGTTAGTGTAACTATGTTTGTGTCATTTTGGTAAACTTAATGAGTTTTGCAAAGTTAAATATGATGGAAATTACAAATTTAGCTCCAATAAGCTGACAATATAATATTTATATAATAACTAGACCCTTATTGTTATTTTAATATATTATTTTGACAATGAATAATTTTTATAGCAAATTCAACAGCAAATGGCTTATTCATCAAATGATGAGACAGGCGATGAAGGATTTGAAACTTCTACAGAAGAAAAACAGATTAGGTAAACAATTATGTAATTTTTTTTTTTAATGATTTACAATTTAAAAACCTATTATTAATTTGAATTATTAATATATATAATTAGGGATACAGAAGCTAATGAGAAGGATATACTAGGCAGCGGGGAAAGTCCGTCTGAAGAAATGTGGGGAAGAGGGGAAGCTTTATGTGATGAAGAACTATGCTCTAGTTTCGCACATATTGATAAATCTCCAGGTACTAACAGATTAGCAATTTTATTCAAATTAGTATTTTAATAGCTTTAACTTGCTTTTATTTTTAAAAAATAAATAAATAATTATATAAGCAATCATTATTTGATATTGACTGCCTTGAATTCATATACTAGTTATGTACATTTATATATATTGTTAAAATATTCTTATTGTTATGAAGATATGCTCAAACTAGTTTAATAATATGTTGATGTTTGTAGTTATATAAAAAAATAAAATCTATAGACAAAGTGTATACTGATGATTAGATTTTATTTTTGTTTTCTTCAAAATTTATTTTGATCATCTCATATGAGTGCTGTTATACTGTCATTGTACTACTTCAAGGCAATCAGTATTTCAAAATGGTATATTTCATTTCCAGAAATGAAGCATCAGTTCTAAAGTTCATCAGCTCTATGACAATCTGATAATCAGAATATCAGAAAAAAAAAAAAAGGAGTTTGTTTGAATGTTTAAATGAATGTATTAATTTAAACAAACAAACAATTTGTTTTGTTTTTTTTTGTTTTTTTTTTCTGTAATATTTTAGTTGAGAGGCTGTAATAGAGCTGATCAATTTTGGATATTTTTTTCTCAAAATATAAGATTGATCATTTTGAAATATTAACTGCCTTTTACCGTAAGCTTGGAAGTATAATAATGAGATTTTAATAAGCGTCTGGATGGTTTTTATTTCTAAACAGCCTTGTTTGGACTAAGTTGGTCGTAACCATTTTTTCTTTAATTTCCTTTTTTAATATCTTTAGTCTCTTGAATTAAATTTGATACTTCTCTTACTCTATTATTTAAGATTTTTTAATTATGTGAGTTGTCTTCAGGTATATACTGCTCACTAAAGTAATGCTCAATGTTTTTGACAGATTTTTTTACTCCAAAAAATACTTTCTCTTACTTTACTCTCAGTGGTGTATAATAAAAGTTCATAATTATTCAGATTGGTTCGAGCCAAAGGAAATTTTGATTCTTGGAGTGATAAAAATGGGTACAAAGATGGAATATTCAAAATTAGAAGGAATAGGATCCTTTCGGACAAGAGATGGATTAGAGTTCTGTATAACATAGCCAATAGAAGATTCGTTGAATGAATAGTCTAATGTGAAGGGACACGGGTTCAAAGGGAAAAACCTATTTTACTGTAATGAATTACGGATTTGAACTGAATAAAATTAAAGCTTTATTGAATTATAGGGCTTGTTGAATGAAATAAAAAGTATCTAACGGAAGAATGAGAGTATTTAAATACCATCTAGTTTAAGTTATTTTTTTAAACGATTTTTCTTCTTTTTCTCTCTCCTGTGTGAGAAACATAAGACAACTTCAGAATGGAGGATTGGAGGCTTGACCCATTCACAGCCTGCCTGTGTGGCCCTTTTCCAGCATCCTCATTTTAAGCCATTATGATTTTGATTTATTTATTTATTAAATTTTATCGTCCTTTGATCATTTTTCTCATTCCATAAAAATAATAAAAAGTTTTTCAATGAACTTCTCTTCAATTCAAGAATTCTTAATTTTTTTTATATGTATTTATTTTAATTTAAATATTCTTTAAAATTTAACATTAAAGTTGAATTTAAGGCTATTTTTATACAGTTGAATTTTGATCATTTTAATTTTTTTATTACACATTTTTTTTTTTATTCGATTGATAAAATCCCATAAATGTTAAGTGATAACAAACCTCATATGAAATAAAAATAACATAATTAAAAAATGCAAAAATATTTCCTCCGTTCATTAAAGGTGTAACCTCTTTTATTAAAATTTTCTCTTCTTACATTATTATATCAAAGGTGCCGTGCCATACACTATTGGTTATTTTTATATCTGATTACATAATATTTTCCATCAACAAAGTTATGTTTACTAATTCTGTCTTATTTGCTAAAATCTTTAATTAAATTAATTAAAAACTAAAAAAAAAAACTTAAAATACAGGTTTTGACGTGTTAGTTCTATCTAGCAGTTTATTATCTTATATGACTTAAAAGTTCCCAAAACCTATTTTCTGTTATTATAATTGATTCCCAAGAGCTGTGGGTTAAAGTGAGTTGAACCTATTGAAAATTTAAATTGAATTTTTTCCTTCCTCATTCCCTGAAATTTTTCTTTAAAAAAAACTTGCAGAAACTCCACCATTAAGATCAGTCCTGCTGAAGATAGAAGACCCAACGTTCGCCCCGTTAGCAGCATTATCTCAGTCTGCTCTCCTAGAAGATGAAACGTTACCAGATTCACCTGATTTATCCTGTTCTTCGTCACCCTCTTCAGTCGAACCTCTACCGCCCCCACCACTTTCGCTTTCAGCCAAAGGTGAGGCTTCCGCTCATTGCTATCACTCCAAATTTTTCTTTCTTAATATCTCAAACAGGAATCGAAAATAAAAGTTACTTTTTGTTTATTATTGATTTAGCTATACGGATTCAAACTAAAAATACTGAAAACTACAACCAACAAAAGGCTTTTGGGTTTAGTTTAGGTTTTACTGTTCCTTAACCAACAGTTGTAGAACTTGATATATCCCACAATCCTGTAAGAGTGTGAGGTATCCACTTTATAGATTCTAACGCAAGGGTCTATCTATGTCTAATATAACAGAAAATAATTATCCTGTCCAGTGCTTTGTCTGCTCATATACTCATATACTCCATACCAAAAATAAAAAAGATAATTTAGACTTTTTCTATGTAGTAACTTATTTTTTCGATTCCTGATTTTGAAAGTTGACTTGATCATAATTTTTAACCTCATTTTCTACGATGATGTTGAATACTTTTTTGTAATAAAGAATATTTGTATCTTTGAATTAGTTTGACCTAGGTAATTTTTAAAGATTTGTTTTTTCTCTTAATCAAATTGGAATAAATGAATAACAATTTATTTTTATTTTAATAACTATAATTTACACGACCGTGATAATTGTTAGGAAAATTTATTGCTAATCTTAAAAAGTTAGCATTTGTCACTTATCCATGATAACAATAAACCTTAGATTATTTACTTATTTATTATTATTCAATTTATCTATTTCAGCAGAATATGTCTCTGCAATTTGCTTTAATCCAGAAAATGCCATTAAGCCCTTATAACTATAGTGTTATTATGAGAAAAATATACGGTGAAGTAAAAAAAACTGATCACTATTATGTGTTTGTCCTGGAAGTGTTAATAAATTTATATAGCTATTAATAGTAATTCAATTTGTTCTTCAATGAACAATAGTTACTCTGTACATTATTCATAAGAATTACCTATCTAATAATTTACTAAACCATTCTTATACTTTGTCTTTTACACTGTTAAAATTGTTTGATAGTTTCAAATGAAATGTCATATAACTACCCTTTAAGAGATTGATCTTGTATAATTTAGGAGACTTAATAATTAAGATTCTTAAGTAACCAACAATTCAAATCAGGAATTGATTATTTCTTTTCGAGTACCATGGATGAAGATGGATGATTTCATTAAACAATCAACTGTTTAAAACTGATAAACAAATGCCTTCGATAATTACATTTTTTGTCGATTTCCGGACATAGGTAGATAGGTTATGAAAAGAAATTATTCTTGTTCATTGGAAGAATTTTATAGAGGAAAAACATATTTTTATTACTGAAATTAGATAGCCTTTATTTGTATTGTGTTGAAAAATTAAAATTGACATTTCATGCGATCTAACGATATAACAAAACGTTACTATTAATAAGTTATTTCAATGTAGGTATTCTTTAATCTATATAGAAATAAGTGAAGTAGATAAAAAGATTTTAAGCTGACTATTTATTTTTAATTTTTATTTTAATTTTGCTCTGAAAAGCTTTTTGTCTGTTTCATTGTTAATCTTTTTTCCTGCTGTATGGAATGTGGTTCAGGTAAAATATTGTTTTGTAGTTTTCTGTTTGTGACATGAGTAATAATAATTGTTTATAGATTATTTTATGAAAAATGTAAATATATTTTGTGGGTGATAACTTTTTATGAAGGTTTTATTACTGCTCCTAAACAATGGAGGATCATAATTTTATAAAGGTAGCAAAATGTGACCCTTTTAATAGTGATAAAAGTGCATATTACCCACGAGAATGAAAACGCACTCTAGTTTTTGACGAGATATTTTTCCATTAGATTCTCCTGGAAGTCCAGGCACACCAACTCATGGCTCCAATTCCTTGAGTGGGTCAGACACTAGGGATAGAGACTTCTTAATAGACGATGAAATCGCTGACCAGCCGGGATTAGTTTTTGACAACAGGGTGGGGCATAGGCTTGTCGACACTACGAGGAAAAGTAAGTTTAGAAAGCCTAAGGATAATTCAAAATATTCGCATGTTTTGCAATTTTCTATATTTATTTATATATTTTTTTGCCTGGGATTATAAGAAACTAATGACTTTTTCACATATTTCGCTTGACTTGGATTTATTTTATTTTTTTTTTTTATATCGTATTTAAATATCGCTAGTGTTAGTAGAATATAATTTTGAGAATGTTTTGCTTTGTAAAGAGCACAATACTTAAATTTTATATTGCGCACATATCACCTTACTTATAGAAAATGTCACCCATCTATAGGTTGTACATAATAAGTTTGTCAATTTGAATTCCTTTAATTGCTTATTTAAAAATTGACTGTGACAACATTATTTTACAAAGTTGTCCTTAGAATGGAATGTTTTAATTATCTTTAGTAAATGAGGTACTCTTAGTAGACTTTTTCCCTCAATAATTTATCAAATTAAGTTTTATATTTTGTTTGTACACTTTTGGTTTGTTTAGTAACTTTTACAATATACCAAAATAGTCAGTGGCCTTCCAAATTTTGATCTAAAAAAAATTGATAATTTTGTATTATCAAGCCACGTTATCAAGAAAGAAGCCAAAATGCTGCAAGTGCTATAATATTGAAACAATGGGTCATATTTTTTATTTTCTGTACCTGAAAAAGAACACACTCTAACTTTCACATTATATCCAACTATCACTGTACTAAAGGATTAAAGAAGAAGACCTTATATAATTGATTATACAAATACTTTTTAATTGATGTTTTCATTACTTTTATTGGATTGTATAGCTATCATTTTGAATTTCAAAAATTCAATTCTTTAATTATATCGTTTGCTTTTTATGCATGGTTTGTATTATACTTATAAGCATTAAATAGTTTTATCATTTGGTTAAAATATATTGTGTGATATTTTCATCAGTATTTTTTTAAATTATTATCAAAGTCTTTCTTTTAAATTTTCTAGGAAGTCATTATTCATAATTGGTCATAATTATTAAGCAAATAAACTTCTGATTTCTTGGTTTTTCACTTTCTCATTCACGTAAGTTTACCTTCCAAGGAGGTATTCCTCATCTTTAGAACATTTTTACTATGACAGAACAATATTTGACTTGACAAGTTGTGATCAATTGTCTAGGTTGAGCCAAAGTTTTTATATAATTCAACTATATGACTGGATATTATTCATTTAAACATTTACTACAGAAGTGATATTGTATAATTATGAAAATGGACAATATCTTCCTGCAACATAATCCATAAACTTTGATGGATATTAAAGTGAATGAAAAGTATTAATTGTAAGTTATTTTTGCTCAATGATATATTTTTTACTATCATTCTTTAGCCTGCCTTTTTTTCATGGGCCAGTTGTTTTTGATCTCATATACATATTGTTCAAAGAACAAGAATTATTGGCTATTTGTAAACTTTTGCTCTTAGCCTTCTAGAAATACTTATTGCTTAGATATTGACATGATTTTTATCTATATTTCTTTTTTAGTTCAAAAATTGGCTGATGAAGTATCTGAAGCGTTAGCGTCAGTCAATCCAAGACTTACAGGAAGCAGGCAGTCTGTGAGCACTTTATCGCCTTGTGACTCTCTCACCTCTGATGATCTCATGGCTGATTTTGATACTTCGGATTTCGATGAGTTCGTATTACATTTTAATCACTTAATCTTTCTAATTCATCATGTTTTTTAAAAATAATATGGAAAATTATTGTAACTTTCAATAATTCAATGTTATAAAAATTTGAAGGATTTGAAGAAGAAACAAAACTCTTAGAAGTCATTTTCAAATATTTAACAGAAAAATATTGTGCTGAATCAACCACCTAATATAATCAGTTTTAAGTACTATCTTAAAAAGTAATTTTTGTTTAGCAAAGTATTTTACGTGTTTGAAAAATTAAATATACTTATTAGTAAATTTATCTTTATTAGCATCATTGTTTCTGTAATTACCATTTTTTTGGGAGTGGCCTTCAAGAACGACTTAAACATTATTTTATATAGGTAGTTTGTTTTTTTTTCTTCCCGAGTAATCACCATTATTAGAAAGAGAAAAAACAATAATAATAAAAAAAGTTACCCCCAAAATTAAATCATGGGTTCTATACTGCAAGAAAGAAGCAGTAAGGTAACTTGGCAGTTATTAATCCAACCTTCCATTATGTCTTCATTTACAAAAAAATTATAGAATTTGAACGAATTGAATTGTTAAGAAATACACACCCAGTACTGAGTAGGAGAGTATTTTATTATTGAATTACATTTTGGTATATTGGTTGATTTGGTATATTTTATCTTTAAAAATTACTAAAAATATTTTTTTTAAAATGATTTCTACCTGCAGATTGGACGATGCCGCATTGAAATCCGAACTGCAAAACCAAAGCAGCCAGGTGATGAGAGAGTGGAGCAACCTGCTGACGTCGCACCCAGGGTGAGTTGCGTTCATATTTAGCCCCCGCACACCAATATCTGTAAATACATTAAATGTTCAATTATAGTTATTTATTTCTGCTCTGCTCCCTTCATCTCCTCTTCCTTATATGCTCTTCCTGTAGTTGCCTTTCTTTGCTTGTAGGTAAGTATTACATTTTTAATTTGCTGCACTTTTTTTTTTTACATTCACTGCAATTTCGCTTTAGTAAATTCATTTGGAGTACTTGAATTTATTGTAGAATATTTTTTATTCAGTTTTTTTTTTTTTTATAAATTGTACAAATTCATTTTTCATTTAACAGTATTGCTTAGGAAAGCATGATAAGGAATATGGGATGTAAAAAGGTATGCAGAAGCATGAATTATATTTTGTATATATTTTGACTTGTTTATTGAAAATTTGAATAAACAAATTGTGCATTTTTTAAATTTTATCTAGTTAGAAAAAGATTTTTTACAAATATACAAACAATACAGTTTAGACTTGGTTAGAAGGTCAGAAAGTGCTATATCCGTCTTTTCTATTGAAAGGTGTATAAATGATTTTTGAATATATGTATATATTCAAGTATTCAGTTACATATTAATATGTAGTTCCATTTCCTACTTTTAAAAATTTTATGTTTATAAAAGTATATACATATTGTTCCAAGAACATGAATTAGTGGCCATTTGCAAACATTTGTTATTAGCCTGCTAAAAATATTTACTGCTTAGATATTTCTTCCGAAGTATAAAAATCAGCCATGAGATCATTGCAGGTTAGAGAGTCACACGGCGATAAAGTGATCACAGACTACCTGCTTACTGTAATACATGATAAATATCTATAATTTCTTCTAAGTATTTCTAACATTAATTCATGGATTAAAATTATGGTTGTTCTTTTAAATAACCTTAATGAATGACCAACGGTCGGAAATAGACCAGCTTATAACAAGTGCAAACAGAACTTTCTTCTCTATTTCAGAGGTATTTAGATCCTGAAAAATCTTAAGAAATCTCAAATTAAGGGGCTTTATAATGATAAAGTCAGTTCTGATATATGGATGTGAGACTTGGACACTAATCAGCTCCCTAGAAAAAAGTATTGAAAGATTTGACCTGATAACTGGAGCGATCTGTGGTCAGAGTAGTAAAACATGGAGAAGAAAGACCAATAAAGAGCTGCTTACAGAAATTAGTCTATCAATATTTAATGACATGAAGGCATAGAGTTTAAGATGGGTGGAGCATGTAGCTCAAAGCAACCCATCTGGAAGCCTATAAATGACGATTAATACCTCGATAGTAGGCAAAAGACCAAGTAGAAGGCCAAAAATCAGATGGATAGATCGAATTAATAAAGTCACAATACAGCTACATGCAGATAACTGGAAAGAAATAGTGTAAGGTAGGTTGAGATGGAGTAAACTTGTTAAGTCGAAAAATATCTTAAAGCCCTCTAATGTCAACAGAAAAACAAATATTGAATTGTTTTTTAATAAACTTCGAGATTTTATGTTTGTTCTCACCAATAGATTTTTTATTATCATTAATAAAAGAAATCTCATTTTTTCATAAAGTCTCTCGACTTTATGAATGAATTATAAAATTATTTGTAAATACCGTTTATTTATTTTATTTATTTTTTTTCAATTTTTAAACTCAGCAAAAAATTATGTACATCTCCACCTACCAAGAAACCAAAAAATTATATTTCCGGTAAAATTTAGTTATACTTTATATGAAGTTAACACTATTGATAGAATTAAAACAATAAATGAGCAGTTTTAAATGAGACCCTCCATCTATTGCTAAAGGCAGGTTTCTAAAAATATGAAAATTTTAAGGTAGGCTTAGGTTGGCTTTATTGTTTAAATTTGTTTGTTGGAAATCATTATGATGATGATCTATGTGTTGTCCTATGAATTAAAATATATAAAGATCTATCTGAAAATTGAGGTGAATGTGTTTTCATGGTAGGATTGGGACTTATTCATGTTTCCTTCTATGTGACAATCATTATGTTAAATCACAAAGCTCTTAACCGAGTAGTATTTAGGCCTTATATGGTTTTCTTATTAATATCATGGTCGATTATTAAAATGATAATTTAAGAACAGAAATGAGTCTTCTTATGTTGAGAGATCTCTCCAGTTTCTTCCACCTCATTTAAGACCCTTCATTTCCAACTGATTCATGATTTTCTACTTCTGCACATTTCTTGTGGGTTTCAGTCCAAAGTAGGTTTAGGAAACTGCAATCTGTAACTTCGTAGTTCACTTCAAACATCAATGAGGAGCTCATAGGCAACTTCCTAACATCTTAAGTTTCTCTTTTGACCACCTCTCTGGACCATCTCGTCCTTCATTAAATAAAATAATTCCCAATAGAAAATCTCACAGCCTTTGACTAAATCAATGTTGATTTAAAATTAATCTCAAAACAACTGACTTTATTACTGGTAATAGTATCAATGGAGAAGTTCTGCAAGTGATCTCTTTGCCAATCTCTGATAATTACCTAGTTACAATCCCACACTGCTTGCCCTTATCACGAAAAAGTGGGAAAAATACAGTTAAAAGATCCTAAATTCTTGACCTATTACATTTTTGGAATTTACTATTTAAATTTTAGTATTTTCAGTATTGAACTTAAATTTACTGGTTAAAAAATAAAATAATAAAGACTGAATTATTCATTTTGAAAATGAATTACACATTTTTATTGATCAAGTTGGCTGCATTCCTAAATCAAACCAAAGAAAACATTTTTTAGGATTGTGTAATTATTCGCTCCTACAGAAATACATTTCCTCAAAAGATATTTATACCAAAACTTTTCCACCATTATACCTAGCAGTAAATATTATGAAGATACCATAGAAAATCCTTGCACTATGGATTTGTATAAAATTTTACTTTTCTTTTTATAAGTCAAAAAGATCATAGATATTTACTTAAAATCAAGGTTTACATTTTTTTATAATTCAATACTCTAGACCCTCACTGACATTGAGAGTTTTTTTTATGGGAAATAAAATATTTTATGGAGAAAATTAAACTCCAATCATATTTTTATTAATAATATTTCATAAAAAATAGTAACATAAAAAAAAAATTCTGTCTTCATGATGTGGAGTTTTTTTCTACTCCATACTGATCAGAACCCACCTGAGACTTTTCTCAACCTTCTCAGCCATCATGGTTATGGTTTTCTATTTTTATTATTAAAATAGATTTATAATTCTTTCAATCAAATTTTCCTCAGGAATTAATAAAAATTATAGGAAAGTCTGTTATATGCTAGTCAAGCTCTTGTCAATATTAAGTCAAAGAGTATTTTAGTTTTACTTCTTTCTTCCTCATGATGATTTATTTCTTTTAGTCTTTTATTCATAAGATTATTGAAGCATACGTCCCATTTTTATTTCCGTAATATATATATATTATTATGTTATATCTGTATTATAATAAGACAAAATATCTCCCTTTGATTCAACTTACAATTAGAGATCCTTCACGCCTTATACTGAAATGATTAATTTGGTTCCAGTTAGATCTGTCTAGTCATGACATTTATCCCCTTCCAGTTCTCCTTTAACTTCAAACATTATTGAATCTAATTTTTCCTATCTTTTCATGAAAATACTAAATTTATAGAGTATTTAAATGAGTAATGTTTTATTTTTAAAATAGTGTTACTTCCTCTGGCCATTGTCTAAATCAATTTCATATTCATCGCTGATTTGTGTGCATGTATTTGTTTTGCACCAGCCCAAGAATATTCACAGAAGTTGACGAACTTACTAATTAACAACTTTCTCTTAATTCAATCACTTTTCTTGATGAAATATTTATTTTTATTTATTTATTGTTTTATTGCTGTTTTCAGTTTTTTATAAATACCTATCTTGTCATTCATCATATTGTATTTTTAAAAAAATTAAATTGTATTTATTTATTTTTTTAATATTATGTTTCAATTTAATTTATTTTTTAATAAAATATTTATACATTTTACAAGTTTTGTTTTATTTCATATTTCATTATAAATACTAAAATATTTTACAATTCATAAAAAGTTTTACTATTTTAAAGAAAAGTTTTTGTTTTTTAAAAATAATTTTAAGAACTATGCTCAAAACATACTTGTATCATTTCAGATATAAAGTTTTATTTTTTTCATCTTTATATTTTAACTTTTACAACTAGACTAGCGATTTGAATAAAAACAAAAAATATCAAGTATTGTAAGTTAGTGATCTTCGATCTTGGAATGTAATAAAGCTTCCGCTGTACTATTATCTGACTTGCTGACAATTTTAAAATTTATGAAAAAGTCTAATTACGATGTTGGCCATAACACCCTTTATGAAATCACAATGTTATGGTATGCACTCTAATATCATTATTAATTACTTTCAAAATAATTAAATTAAACAAACTAGTGCCTCTAAATAAGCCACTAAATAGAAAATTGTTATTAATTAATGAAATTATTTTCAAGTAATAAATATTTTAAATTAAATTGATTGGTAAATTTTTATTGGAGTAATGCATAATGTTCTCTGCAGTATGAAGGCTTATTACAATATTGAATTTAATTCATATGTCTTATTGGTATAAAGCTTTAGTTTTACAGCTGCTTTCTGAGATCAGTTAAATCTAAAAAAAAAAAAAACAATAAAAAAACATGTTATCAGTGTGCGTTGAATCAAGTTAAAATTATATGGTGAAACATTTGACCACGTGAGGAAGTTTTCTCATGAAAATAAAATTTACAATCTAGGTTATTAGTAAAGGAATATTATCCTTAATAAATGAAACAATGTCACACTTAAACTGTTAAATAATGTCATATTGCAATACTTATAAATGTTTTAGCACATTTTCTTAAATAATAAAAAATATAAAATAATCTGACATTTAAATTAATTTCAATATTATGCATGGTATAAATTTATTATGCATGTAATTTCACTTCATCAGTGAAGGATCTTTGGCGCAGCAATAT